ATTTATTTACTCATTCTCCTGCTGATAGACAAATGGGTTTCAGCTTGGGCCTCCTATGAGCAAAGCTACGTTAGACATTCTTGTATAAATCATTTTATAGACAGCTTTTTATTTTTCTTGTGGAGTCATAGATTATCTGTTTTCCAAAGTGGCATTATTTTACATTGCCAGGAGCAATGTATAAGAGTTCTGCTTGCTCCCAATTCTGTGCTATTTTTGTGAAGTGGTACTAAGACAAGATGAAGAAACAATTTCTCAGTTCCGTTTTCTGCTCCAACATGTTTCAAATGTCAAAAGAATTACCTGTTCCTTGAAAGGCCATTTAACCCATGATAACCCTCAGGAGTCTCTAGGGTTTATTTAGTAAATGATTTTACTAGATGGGTGGATTCCCCTTTTCCTCCAATGTTCCTATTACATCCCTTCAGAACAGGAATATATTTTTCTTCCTGATGAAAGCTGTGCCTGTGCCCCCTGAATAGAATATTCAGCAGGCTCTTGACACTTAGGAGGATATCAATATAGAGTTCAAAGACTTAATTAAAAATTGCACATGTAATTTAACAAGTGAAAAGCCATGAAATGTAACTGGAAGTTTTAACCATTCTTTTAAAATGGTTGCACATGAAAAGCAAGCATCAGCAAGAGAAGACAATTGTTGAAATGCTGAAGGATACATCCTCTGAGGAGGGGGAATCAGGAAACCAGAGAGATGGAATAGCTGGTTATCTTCTCTCTCCCTCTCAACAACTGAAATGCAAACTCAATCAAGGCATTTTGCCCATTTGGATTGCTGTTTTGCTAGGAACAAAAACAGTGCCTAGAACTCAGGAGGGATTCACGTTTGTGAATGACTAAGTAAAAGGCAAGGGGAAATCAATCAACAAATAATGTAAAGGTAACTTTTGAAGGTAATGAATAAATATCCTTGACTGTGATGATCTTACAGGTGTACACTAATCTCCAAACTCACCAAGATAAATGCATCAAACCTGCAGTCTTTTGTATGTCAGTCATACCTCAATACATGGTCTAAAAATAAGGCAAAAAATTGATATAAAAAAGATTTAGCCATTTGGCTAGCTTGGCTTAAATTCTTCAATGTACTTATCTTTAACACTAGATCAAGTATTTTCTGTAGTGTAGCATTTAAGATCTTTCAAAATCTACCCTAACCTATATGCATATATCTGTTCCTCACACCTGAATCTGAATACTTTACACTCCCACACACATTTGTATTCCCTAGTGGTTTTATAATCTTCCCTCTCTGCCAGGATGATCCTTCCATACCACTGCCTGATGATATCTTTCCAAATTTACTCACTTATTTACCTTTTTGGGGTTAACTAACCTCAATGGGAAAGACTAAGGTAAGAGGACCAGATAAAAGCTGGAGAGACCTTACTTTATGCTGAGTGCTGTAGTTCTATCTTCAAACATTCTGGTGAAACAGGAATAATTTTCATTTGAACATTAAGAAACTGAGTCTCAAGTAAGTAGTGATTGCTCAAAATAACACATAATGGGCACAGAACTGAAATTGAGCCCAGGATGATGTAATCCTAGACCCTGTACTCCCTCTTCCCTACACTACATGACTTTCCAGGGCAATCCCTCATTCCCTTAACTGGGAAAACACCTTTTGTATTTCCATCGTTTAATACTCAAGGAGTTCCTTACTCATCTTTTTACCCAAATGATCAAAAGAGAGTAAGACCTTACCTTTCTGGTCAAAAATGAATTGCAGCAAAGCTCACAGAAAAGCACGAATAGTTTAAGGATTCCACAGTAGATATTTTCAAGTTAACCTATTACCCTAAAGTGGGTCCAAGGACCCAAAGCAACCCTGTTCACTCACATCCCAAGCAAAGCAAAAAAGTATGATGCCGCTACTCCAGCCACCTGAATTTGACAGAAACTACCCTCAGCTTGAAGAACTTCTCTCCCAGGAGACTCTTAGGTAATCAGGGTGGAATTTTTAGTATTTCTGTCATCCTGCTTTCTGGCAAGAAACCATGGCCTAGGAGAATAGGAGAAAAGTGTGTTTTTCAGTACCCTTTGGCATATTTATTTATAAACAGTTGAGTGACCAAATTTAATAATGAACAAAATAAGGTGCCTTCATTCTTGGAGTTTTTATTCTGGTGGTAGAAAATACAGCGCCTTAGAAAACAAGTGTAAATGGATATTAGTGCTGGGGTAAAGAAGAAAAGACTGGAATGAAGCATAAATGTAAAGCAAACAGGCCAGTGTGGGAAAAGTGTAGTGAGCAAGAGGAGTAACTGATAGGAAAAATAAACAAACAAACTCAGAGTGCTCACAAAGCTAGGTAATGCAGGGCCATGTCAAGACGTTGGATGTTACAAATGATGGCAATTCAATGGTTCTGTCAGCAGATTCCAGACACTGGGACAGGGACAGAAAGTTCTTCATCTCTTCAGAGAAAGAACTCAAGGAGTGCACTGTCCAGACAGAAAGTGGGCAGGCACAAGGAGCAGCTGTGCTGGGGTCTCAAGAATCTCAAGCTTTTATTGGGGTTTGTAGACATGGGCAGTCCTGGAAAACTGTTCTCGTAACTGCACTGAGTCATCAGCTCCTTCTATATTACTGAGTTCTTGGCCCTAGATGGTCATTTTCCATGAGCTTTGGAGGCTTCAGGTCAGCAAAACCCTGCTGTATGTCACAAGTCGTTTTGTCAAGATCAGCTGGGCTGGATATGTTTTGTTTTTTTTTTAAATCAACTCCCAAGCCATTGTTTTCCGCCACCTCAGTTATGGAGGTAGGCTATATATATATACAGTAAGCAGGGAAGTCACACAATCACATTTGTATCTTTAAAAGTACATTTTTGCTCTGGAGAACAGAGCACAGTGGGCAAGAGCACAAGAAAGCCCATCCTAGGAGGCTACTAAACAATCCAGTAAGAATGGCACATGACGATTGATGCCGGGAGTGGTGACAGGTCACATTCTGAACCTAACTGGAAGCTCTAAGTAGATCTGCTATGTATTAGCGGTATGAGAACAGATGGATTATTAAGAAAAACTCATGAGTTTTAGCTTGAGCAGCAGGGTGAGTAACACACTACTGAATAAGGAGGGGGAAATATTAGAAGAGGAGTCAAGGTCTATTACCTAGGTGATTTAGGATTAGTTTAAAATAATCCAGACATGTAAATATGAAAGACACGTCACCTGTAATTGTTGAAATTGGGTGTTGTGCACATGAAGCTTTGTTTTACTGTTTACCTTTTCCTTAACAAAACTTTAAAAAAGAACAGTTATAGCATTAAGTATGAGAGGCCAATTATATGGAGATGTTATATAAGAAACTGGGACTGAAGAAATGTGGGACATGTCAATAAGTTTAAAGTCATGGGACCGGATGAGAATACCCACTGAGCAAATAAAAATAGAGAATGGGTCTGGCAATGAGCAACTGAAATATCCATGATTTAGAGGTTAGGAAGGTGAGAGGAATCAAGAAAAGCATTTGTGAAGGACTTTTTAATACATATAAAAAATCACTGATAAAGTATAATTTTGTACCGGTGTTTCTACTTCTAGGAGTATAACCTAAGAAACTAATAGGACTTATGAATACAGACTATGTATTTATCATATTCTTTAACAGACAAAGAAAAAAAAGGTGGATGTGGTATGGTGAAATAACCTAAAAGTTGAACAATAATGGGTCAACAAGACACATTGCAGCTCATTCAGTGAAGTATTGTGCAGCAATTAAGAATGACGCAGGTATATTTTAGTGATCTGTAAATATTCTCACAAGTTATTAAGTATGAAAAGCTGATTAAATACAACATGACAGCTGCTTTATCATTACTGAGTATAACGAATAATGGTTTTGCACGTTCCTTACCATGAATAACCTAGAAGGGTAAGTTTATTATCTCCAGGCATAAAATTATGGGTTTTCTCTCCCTACACTTGCTTGTATTTTACAATTTTTTCTCCATACAAAATGTACTGAGAAAATGTATTTATAATAAAGCTCATTTGGTAATGTGAAATACAAATAACTACGAAAAGGAATTTTTCTGAAACCAGTTAAAAAGTGTACTGACACCAGAAAGTTTGACTGAAAGAACTATTATGAAGTGTTTTAAAACAAAGAAAACACAAATAGAATATAAATTACTTTAATAGTATATTAAATATTTTATTTAAATTAAGTATACCAACCACCCGCATTTTTCACCACTACTTCTAATTACTTCCAAATAATCTATACAATATCTCAAGTACCAAATGCCACTCATAATCTAAATATAATATATATTATACACACTGACTTTAAATAACTTAATTATAAAAGGCATTTTTAAAAAGTCACAGTACCTACTTTTCTCTAATGAAAGTTACAACATCCATGCTATGTTGTCACCTACTCAATGGATTATATCTAGGAAAATTACTCTGTGAATACTGCTTACACTGGAGTGTAAATTCACATAAAAGCAATTTCTTTAAAACATGTCCTACTTTAGAAAAAAAAACTAAATGTGAGCTAACTTAAAATTACAAGTTTTTTTTTTTAAAGTCAAGGTAATTCAATTTTAAGTGTTTAGATCATTATGTCTTATTGAACTTCCCCTTACATAGCTTTCATCACTAACAATTTATTTGTTAATGTGTTTAACCCAGTCTTATAAAAATCTGTTCATAACATTTTACATTTAAGAGAGGGATTTTAGTGCCCAAGTAACAAGACATATTTTTACAGGTTTAATTATATCAATTCTGCCCTTTTTTGTGTGCAATGGTTTTATTAACTAAAAAATCCTTAAAAGTGTTGACTTCAGAAAAATCTTTAGAAGATCGATACTCTTAATGACTCTTAACAACTTCTAAATGTATTTTTTACCATCTGAGTCAAAAGTCTATATTCTATATGGATATTACATAAACTCTTCTTTAAATTGTTTATTTCATTTTGATTATAAAGATCATAAAATAATATACTAAAAGAATTTCTTGGCTTTGGGCCATTCAGTTCCTTTTCTATTTTAAAAGTTAAAATCATTGCTTTTCTCTCTCTAGTTACACTTTTTAAAGTACTGATTTTAAAAGACAAAGATAAGGTGTGGCTTAATACTTCAGTATTACTACCTGTTGCAATAAGTCCACCAGATCTAAGGCTTTCCTCCCTAAGGAAGCTGGCTTTAAATCAAATACTGATTTTCCTCTTGCAATTCACAGCGGTCTATTGACTCAGTTACCCAACGTTCTTGTACGATTTTAAACTTTTTCTTAAGAGTTCTTCTAAAAGCTTTAAAATCTGCAACACGACTCTGATCCTCTCCAATGACTACATGAGACACCCCCTCAGCTAAACAAGAAACTACTCTTGCTCCATGAAACCGAAGCTCCAAGGCTGTAAAAGTTAATTTCGCTCCCTTAGTTTTGGTGCTTGGATCATTAATCACCGCATACAAGTCCAAATAAACGGTGTGATGACGAAACATACTGAGAGGAAAGTGGTCCCAAGAATACCGACACTCTAGATCAGCAATCACACAGGCCATTTCTTCAGGAGTCTGTGCACTAGAATTCTTAATTCCCGAAAATACTTCTTTCAGTTGGCTCAAATCCGTGTCAACAAAGTAACTATCACCATAGCAATCATATTCACAGGCAAAATGCTGTTTTGTTGATGGACACATATGAATCATAAAGCGAGGTTGCCATGGCACACAACTTTGGGTCTTAAAACACTCTAAAAGCCATTCAGGCTTGACAACATCATGCTTATCTGAAGAAATTATGTTTTTCACTCTGATGTTCTCAGACCCTGCAATAACACAGTATGTGTCTGGTCCTGGATTTTGTACTATATAGCCACCAAATTCTGCAATTCTGTTCTCCAGCTCAGGTTTTGTATGACTGCCTGTTCCACTCATGACACAAAACTCAACATCTTCAAATATATTAGAGACTTTGCTTATGTTAGAAAGGTTAGGTGCTTTTAAGTGTTCAATAATTCCAATAACTTTTTTCATCTTTGGGGCAGTTTTCCGCTTTTTTTCTTGAGGTTCATCATCACCACCTACATCAAGGTGTTTTGACACAAGCTTTCCAGATGCCTTTCCCCTAAGTTGCTCTAAGTCGTCCAGAGTCATGCATTCATGCCACTCTTTGTCATCTCTTACCTTCTTAATCCGTGGAAAACGCAATGTACAGCCAGTTTTATACATTTCACTGGGGACTATCTCTGCTGCCTTAACCTGAACGATGACAGAATTACACGGTTCGATGTACACTTCTGGCTTCTCTGTTCCACATATAATGCTACTTGGTGGAGTTTTTTTATGAAAAGGCTTCCAGTGTTTGGCCAGTTTCAAACCCAGATCATACAGCTCTTTCATGGTATATCCTGAGCCAACACGAGAGAGAGTGTGAAATACAGACGGCCTCTTCCCAGGAGGAGGCTTCTCTGCCACTGCACACAAAAAATGAGACATCATTCCACCCCGTGAACCTTTGCCCCAGTAGCCGCCCACAATTAAGATGTCCAATTCATCCATCAGTCCGCTGACATACTCTGGTTTGATTTTTAACCATCCTTCACCTCTTTTGTCCGGCTTGTAAATAGACAGAGGATGCTTCACCATGATTCCCTCTTCTCTTTTATCTATCGCCTCATTCAATGCATCGACCACCTCGTTCTTAGTGTGAGCCTGCGTTTTCTGCACTATTTCCATTCTACCTTGTATTGGTATAAAAGTACCACTAAGAATCTCGTACCTCTTTCTCAGGGTCTCACGTCCTAGCTTTTTATTATTAACCATCAATACATCAAAAACACAGTAACAAGTCTGCAAATCAGAATCTTCTACCATTCTTTTAATATCAAACTTGTCCCCCTTCTGCATAAATGTTTGTGTATTTGGGTTGTAGGCCATCATCTCACCGTCAAGGATACAGACTTGTACATCTGTTCTGAATGCGTTATGAATGAATGGGGTGAGAGAACCTTCCTGCGGAGAAGCACCAAACTGATCAGTGTAATTATATCCATTTCGGGAGAAGTATTGGTACACGTCCCCATCTTTGTGCATCTGCATACGCTCACCATCGAGCTTGGTTTCGATGTAGAAACTCTGGTGTTTCATGTCCTTTTCAATGCGCTCAACATCTGCTATGGCGGCGAGCATTGGTCTAAAGGCAGAAAACAATGTGATAGAAATATCACTGAGGCCTACAGACGGATCATGCAGCTGCCTACAGACCTTTTCCAGATCTGTGGTAACACTATACAGCTCAGTAGCATCACTGTGAAAAACAGGAAATACAGTTTGCTGACCAACACCAAGCTTTAAGTCTTTCAAAATCATTCGTATGAGCCACTTTTGCTCAAGGGCTGAACTCTGAGTTATAAGTTGTAGAAGGCTCTTCTTTACTAAGTCTTTTCTTTTGGAAGAATTATTGCTGGCAACAGAGTCTAAAAGTTCATTTACCTGCTGTATGCTTAAGCTTCCTTTCTGTAAGCATCTTGGCTTCAACACAAAGTATGCAGTCAGTGCGAAGTCTCCCGCATCACTGTGAACTGCAGAAGGGGTTCTGTAATTCAGGAGCTTAAGGGCATCTTTTCCTTGTCTCGGTAAGTTAAGCAATTCAATATAAAGCTTAGCAAGCATAGTTTCTTTGATTCCATAAGCCATTCTCTCTCTTTCCAGCTGAGGAAGAATAAGTCTCATTGCTGGGTAAAAAGAGTCTGTAACATCTTTTTGGTTCTTATGAAGGGCATCATGAAATTTTCTCCAAGAATCTAAAAATTCTGTAAAGTGTCTAATTTTTTCTACATGTCCTTTACTTTTCTGTATTCGTTCTAAAGTTGAACATAAATCTGCAAAGGGAACGTGAGATGCAACAGTTTGTGAAGTTTGTGAGGCAGCCATAGAAGAGATGGTGAATCCTCTGGTTTAACTATCAAAGCAAAAAGAGAACAACTTTAAGCGAAAGATAAAATTCAACTAAATATTTAACTTGATAACCTCATAGGGATCACCTGGATCATGATGTTTATTGTCTACCAATGAAAACAGATCAATGATATAAATGATGTTTATTTTCAACTTTTACTTTTAAGGACTTATGTCCTTCAACCTAACCAGTATCTTTGTTATCAAAGGTATGCCTGTCTCATTTCCTGTATTTATAATATTGAAAAAAAATTATCTTTCTCTCTAAATGCCAATATCCACTGAATGAACTATTCTATCTCTTCATTATTTAGCATGTGATGTAAAACAACATTGCTGATACTGAAAACAAAATATAAAATCAGGTGCAGTTCACTTCACCCTAGGCTTTGGAGGTCATACCCTCTTCCTGTCTCCTATGCATGTCTCCTCTGTCTGTCCCAGACTACCACACAGCACCAGAAACAAAAGGCTTAAAGCAGAGGCTTTTTAACAAATCAATTGGTCACTGAATTGAAATCTGACTCCCTGGAATTTTGAAATCCTAATCCTACAGTCCTTGCCAACAAAAACAAATGAAAACTGGTATCCTCTTCTTCCAGCCACACAAAGCATGTCTGTTTACTTTCACTTCTTCACTGCTACCTATGCCATAATACCCTGGCATTCCAAACCCAACTCAATACACCCTCCACACTTTACCTAAGTATTTTATCAGTCATTTATAGTATTATGAATATAAACCCAGTGGGATAATTTTGTTCATACTCTCATATCAGTAACTTCCTAAATATACAGTGATTACATATTAGCTGGGACGGTGCTATGACACATGCAGTATGTTTCTGCTTTAAAAGAGCATATATACTGTAAAGAAAAAGGGATGTAATATTAACTAGCTATAATAAAATGCTTAAAGTGCTTTAACAAAAATAAGATGAAAGGAAATATCTTGAGACAGAGCCTTGTCACGGAAGTCATATGAATCAAAGATACTGGGTGCCAATGGCTCACCTTTATAATCCTTGCTAATTTGGAGGCTAAGATCAGGATGACTGCAGTTTGAGGCCAGCCCAGGCAAAATATCATCTGCAAGACAGAGCAAAATGGACTGGAGGCATGGCTCAGATAGTTAAGTGCCTGCACGAAGCCCTGAGCTCAAAACCCAATGAAAAAATAAATAAAGAAATACTGGGCACACTATTGTGGTAAGGTCTAGAATACTTCCTAAAATGGTTACCACAAGCATGAAATTTCTTTGAAGTTCAAAATATTGGAACCTATAATATATCAGTTATTTTACATAGTTCAAACTATGTAAAAACAAATTAACTTAAAAAAAAAGACTTGAAACAAAATGTGTTCTGTAGGAATACAAACCATGTTTTTGCTGTGGTTTCAGATACCACTTGGCACACCAGCCCATAGCCCAAGCAGGGTGTGTGGAGGGGCGGAGCAGGGAAGCTTCTTTGGGAGTGAAATCTGTTACAGTGCAGACCATGAGATTTCCACCTGCTAGTTCCCTACCCCAGCAAAAACAGAAACACACACACACACACACACACACAGTCTCTCAAGGCCAGAAACTGTGCTGTAATTTGTGTTATCAGAGGTGGACTTATAGAAGGTTTATTTACTGAGTAAATTGCCAAATACATACAGCTGATTCCTGGAAGAGCACACCAGGCGACACACACCAACGTGGCTGGTGGGGTACACCTGTTCTAACTGCACTGGCAATGGTTCCCAACAGTCATTAAGTAGGGGTGGGAGAGGAAGACAGCATCACTTTTCAGTGTAATTTCTGACAAAGGAAACCCAACTTCTCTACTGAGTGAGTTAGATCAAGAGATAAAACCATCAGGAACTCTGAGACTTTTATCTGTGATTCCTGTAACTGCTTCCCCTTGTTGAATCCGGTTTGCATAACTGACTACACCACCTGGTTCTCTTGAGTGGGTACAACATGGTCATAATGCTATGTTTATAATTTATGTATAAGGTATGTTAAATGAAGTATGTTAAGAAATACTTCCAATGTTCAAGTACTGGTATGTAGTTTCTATCGATCTGTAGATTCCACATGGGTCTCTAGACGGATCTCCAAGTTTCCCTCCACAAATCTCATCCAAAGACGCAAATTATGTCATAATAATGATGATATTTAGGCAATGGTATGCATGAAGAGACTTTTTTTTTAATTTTGACGTTTTTGGCTCCTGTTTCGCATTTGCAATAGGACAAAAGAGTTTTACTGAGATTCAGCTGTGGCATCTACTACACCTGAGTTCAAAATGTAGACTCTAACATTTAATAACTGTGCGATATAGGGCAATTAATTCCTCTAAAGCTTCCATCTCCTCAAGTATAAATGGGGTTAAAAAAAAAAAACTGTGTAGAAATCAGGTTGAGGATGAAATTAGATAATTTACATAAGGTGCTTGACACAGTACCGGCATTACTTAATCTTTTGATACTTGTGCTACTTTAATGCCTAAGGATCCAAGCAACATTTAAAATCTAATACTGCAAAATACTAAACAGGCAAGAGTGGGGGGAAACGAGAGAATGCTTCACTTTTGAACAGTGAAAACGCAAGGCTTTCAAGAGAATGAATGCAAGTAAACAGCACACGGTAACAGTGATTCCTCCATCCAGCTGCCGCCAAGGGCCACAACAAAACACAGGTTTTACTTAGTGGATACGGAAACCGATTAAGTGCTATTTTATCTGGGAGAAAAAGTGACAGTACAAATGAAAGTCCTTTCAAGCAAACCTCCAGACAAACGCTCGCTCCAGCCTCCCTTCCCAGCCCTTGGTGACATGGGGAGAACCTCGGTGGGGGACCCCGAAAGTCAGAGCTGGGCCCCCGGTCCTCCCCCCCCAAGTGCACCTGTGCGTCCTGCAAAGCCACCCCTGGACGCTCTCCCCGCCCCAAGCAAGCTCCGGGGCTCGCGGTGAACACCGCCTGGGACAAACCTCGGCCCTCGGGGCTCAGGTCCCATTTGTCACTGGGATCCAGGATGTCGCCAGAAAAAGAACATGGGCAAGCACAAAGCTCACCACAGGACCCCAGGGGGTCGAAGGAGGCCCTGGTCCCCGGCCCACGTCCCAGGCGCTGGCCTTGATGCCCTGACCACCCTGACAACTGTGACGCCAGCCCCAAACAAGAGGGACTTTTAAGACCGACACTAGCCAGGCCAACAGAGAAGGAGAGAAGGCGCCCTGGATCCCGCCTCCCGCCTCCCGCCCACCTCCGTCGGCCACACTTCGTATCCTGGTCGCTCCGCGCAGAGCCCCGCGGACAAACCCCAGGCCCAGTCGCACCCCACACACCTCTCGCTCGACCACAAGCGCGGAGCCACCACCGACCGGAAGCTGCCGCCGGGAAGAAGCCGGTTCCGTCAGCTGGGCACCGCGCAGGCGCAGTGGAGACCGGCGCGTCGTGACGGCATACCCGGCGTGCGCAGGCGCAGTAGCGCTCGGGAGGGGCGGGTTGAGGCGCGCCTGCGCAGGGAGGCTTCCAGTGGCTGCCGTAATGACTGTGAACAGCTCATGTTAACGTCAAGAGCAGGTGCTCTCTGTAAGCAAGCGACCCACACACGACTAGAATTCGTCTCTGAATGAAAGCTTAATCCATTTTATGCACTGGTTTCTTACCTGGACCCTACTTGTTCTCTGTGTGTAAAACTGGGGTACCTGTGCTTAATTGCCCTGGTTGGTTGTGGAAGAGTCCAGTAGAGAAGAAAGCGTCTCTCCCCCCACAACAAATCTGCCGTTTTTCTACACTGAGGTAGAAAAGTAGGCCTCAGGCTGGTTGTTGTTTGCAACTGAACTCAAGTTTTTTTTTTTTTTTTTTTTTGGATGCAACAAAGATATTTATTAAATTTAGCAACAAAAAGATTTAGCAAAAAATGGCTCTTAGGATGGGCTTAATTAAATTTGTTTTTCCCATAGAGGAGGTACTGACACCTTAATTGTTGTACAAGAAAAATATAAAACGACCCTAATACTTAAGAATGTCTGTCCTGATTGATAGGTAAGCACTTGTCAGTCATTTTATTCATATGTGCATATAATGTTTGGGTCATTTCTCCCCCTTTTCCCCCACCTGAACTCAAGTTTTTGTGCCAACACAAAAATACATAATTTATACTAACATTTTATAATACAGAAATAAACAGTTGCATGGACTACAGACTCTTAAGAATGTCCAGTCACGGGTTCAAAATAAAGTCATTCGATAATTGAGCACCTAGTAAGATACTAAGGACTGAGATATAAAAAACCCAGTCCAGGAACTGTTGCTTTCCATTGACACGTGGCTATGGTCTGACCTCTTCTACCATGGAGAACCGAGGAATTATGTATAACAGGTGGGGAAGACAACTCTTACAATTATTTCCTTTTGGTATAAAGTAGTTACTTTTGATGACAGTGAAACACTTTAGAGCTGCCTTTGGGTTTTGTCTGGTGGAAGAGAGCCTCATTTTACAAAGCCATCTGTTCACGGTGCTAGCTTGAAGTGGAGATCCCAGGACTCCGTCAAAGCCAGCCACGTTTGATTGTTTCCTTTGTAAGTTTAATTCAACCTCATACCCTGAGTGTCTGTCTGAGATCATTTGTGGCGTGTAAACCCACGGTCCTGTCTTGTGAATAACTCCTCGATCTTGCTCAGTGTAGCCGGTGGAGGGCCCAGGCTGGGTTAAACTAAGGCGGCTGCACTCGCAGGTCGCGTGGGCGGCGCACACCGCGTGTGTCCCCGGCCCGCTCCCGCGATGCCCCGAAGTGTCAGTGTGCTCAGGGCCCACACGGCCCGGCCCGGTCTCCAGCGGTCATCTCCCGGCTGCTGGGCTCGGAGAGAGCCGGGGTTCCCCAGTTCCACACTAGCGCCACTGTGACTGTTAGTTTATTTAACTTGTGAGCTCCAGTGCACGACCTCAGTTGGGCTCTAACGATGGGAAGCGACGACTCCAGAGCCCAGTTTTGACCTGAAGCTGCCCACACTCTTGAAAAATCAACCAACAGTAAAAAACCTATGAAATTTCCTCTGTACGGGCAAAAGAGGGCGCACGGGGCAGAGAAGGGCTACAGAAGAGGCGAGGAGCTGCAACTACGCAGCTCCGTACCATTTGGTGCCAAGGGGGTTGCCAGTGAAGCTAAGCAAACTAAGTTTCCAAGTCCTCGTGAGGGGTCCTAACATGTTCCTATAGGCTGGTACATAAAAACTGGAAAAAAGAAAGATAAAAAATTGTGCATTCCTTCTTTTTACCAGGGCCCTCCAAATTGTGCAAATTCCGGCCTGCACCTGCCTGGACGATCCACTCTGGCAGCGTTTTCAATTCTGGAACCGAGCTCAGCACCCCGTCAACCCCAGCAGACAGGTGCACACTGCGTCCATCCAGTGACCGCTAGAGACCTGGCTGTGCCTCTCGCGTCAGCCCCGCAGCCTGGGGTTCGGTCAGCGCGAGGTCCCGGGGCGCCGAGGTATTTTGCCCTCCTCGGCCACCGTCGCGCAGCTCCGGGCCGCGGCGCCTGCGCATGCGCGGGAGGCGGGCCGGGTTCCCACTGGCAGGAGGAAGACGGAGAACAGGTTATGTGGGAGCCGGCGGCGGCCTTTGCGGGCGACACCCGAGCGCGGGCCGGAAGTGGACCGCCGAGAGCCGCGTCGCAGGAGCTCCGGGCTAGACGGTGGCGACGGCGGCGGCCCCTCGGCTGGCGGAGGACGATGAGGAGCGACGGAAGCGGCGCGGGACGACGCTGCTGCGCGGCGCCCGCCTTCCTGGCCGCGGCCGACTGCGCAGCCTGCCCGCGGGCCTGAGTAAGTGCGGCGGGGACGCGGGGCCGTGGGGACGCGGGGCCGTGGGGACGCCGGCCGCGCCGCCCGTCACCTCCCCTCCGGGCGGGAGCCCGCGCACCTGTGCTGGGGACACGGTGTGCCGCGGACCCCATGCACCTGAGCATGGCGAGGCAACTAGGGCCAGAAATGGGAGACTCCCGCCCTTCCCCCCCGCCCGCTGCCGCCGCCGCGACAGCCACCAGGTCGCCTCCCCCTCCCCGCCGTAACCGGCTTAGACCCGGCCTTCCCGTGGCAGGAAGTCCGGGGGTTCGATGCAAAGGCATTAGCCGTGTGGTACCAGCACCAAAACAGTAAGTTTCTCGTTCCACAGCTCCCTGCTCGTGTTTACCGTGTAACTGCAGAGGAAGGGGCCAGTGCACCGGCTTTCAGCCGGGACGTTTGGGTTTCAGCCCTGCTCTCTTCTCTCCCGCGGCATGAATTCACAGTCCTTTGCCTGCCCGCGTAGGTGAATCGCGGACCCTTCGCTGTAACGTTAAATCGTACCCTGCTGTGTAAGAATCCACGTTGCCACGGTTACCATACTTAAGACTTCAGCCGGTCAGTCACTGTTTTTGCTTCAGTGGTACTAGGGTTTGAACTCAGAGCCTCGCACTTGCTAGGTCTTCTCTGACTTGGGGACCACACCCGCAGTCCTTTTTTTTTTTTTTTTTTTTTTTTTTTGCTTTAGTTATTTTTCAGGGATTATCTGTGTTTTTGCCCAGGCCTCAGAATGAGATCCTCTTACCTTTACCTCGTATGTACCTGGGATCACAGTTTATCGACTGAGATGGGGGTCTTGCTGACTTTGCCCCAGCTGGCCCGGAATTGCCATCTTCCCCAACTCCATCTCCCAAACAACTGGGATTGCAGACCAAGCTCTGTGCCTGGTCCCTGCTCAGTGATTGTTAGTAGATGTTTGCTATGTGCCAGGTACTGCTGTAGACTGAAAAGTACAGAGTAGAATAACGTGAAGTCACTGTCACCAAGGAACTCAAGCCTAGGACTGGGTTAATTACTCTGCAATAGTAAGTGGCCCTAAGTAAGTTATCACAATCTACAGAATAGAGAATGGCTGGCGGTTGGGGTTGGGAGGAGTTAACAAGTAAAGCTTTCTGGAGGCTCTACCACCTGAGCTTTGTTTTGACAGAAAAGTAAATTATTTCCTGTGTGCAAATAGAGTAGCCTCCAGTGAGTCATTTCCATCATTGGACCTTAGTCAAGTAAGACTCCTGGTTGTATTAATTTCCACTCACTCTGCTGGGGTAGCTAATGAAATACTTGAATTTTTATCTCATAGATATAGCTGTATTTGTTAGCAATCTTACATTTGATCTCAGTATTTCAATTAAATGTTTCATATTTAACAACATGAGAAAATACATATTTTGAGCAGCCAAGGGAGTTGGCAAAAGCTACCTAGCTATTAACAGACCACACCCCAAAACACTGTCTCCTTTCTTCTAAATCACAGTGCCTTCCGTTGATAGTTAATTCAGAATGATGAAAGCAAGCTGACTTCTACACCTGTACCTACAGGTAACTCTTGGCTTACTCCCTCTGAATATGAGGATTGTCTAACCAAGGTGTCGTGTCCATGGGCCAGCAATGGGACATTAACAATAGGTACAGGAAATGGTAGATCTAACCCTTTTTGTAGTTGTCTGCCTCTTGTCATTTATCTCAGGGGAATTTGTTTCTGTTTCTCTGATTTCATTAATTTAGAACTCATTTAATTATTTCTCAGAAATTCGGAAGTCTTTCTAATTGTTGTTTCAGGAAAGTCTGTGGCCCTTAAATACCCTTTTTTACAGTAGATGCCTAAAAGGTTCTAGTTCTAATTAAGATATTTTTCAAGGAGAGACTTCCTGATACATTATTACATGTTACATTACTGTTTCACATACATCATAACTCCTAAATCCCCTTGAAAAGGCATGGTATTTCTAGGGCACAAATTGCAAAAAACTTTTTTAAGAGCCAACCTGAGAAACTAGATACTTTAACACTGGTGTCCTATAAGAAATAAGCTCTAGTTCATATGTTACATTCTGAAACATTGCCCATTTGTGTAAGTTTAAAGCTTCCTAAATTTCAATTTCCATCTACATTCTAACTCCAGTGTTTACGTTTTTTAGGGTTGTAGTTTTCTTACTGTTGTACCATTTTCTTGCTTGCAGGTTTTTGTAATCTCAACAAACTGACTGGCTTCCATAGTGACAATAATCTGTCATGTTAGTTTTTGTCCAAGATGACTGTATTTTCCAAGTCCTCAACATTTCAAGAGGAAAACACAAAGATTTACTGAGTTTCTGCCTGATATAATTACCAGTGCATCTGCTCCTGGAGGTTTAAAATACTCTCTGAACCATCCAGCTGCCCTCCAACACCTCCCAAGGCAGTTACTGTTCATTTGTCTCTGGGACTATTAATACACGTTTTCCCTGTTGACAGCGTGTGGGTAACCGCGAGGGAATAGGCAGCTCATTCTGTGGGTATCCAGCACACTGGAGCAGCTATTTGAGTTCCCATTTCAGCTGTGCAGCTGGCACGGCTTCTTGACTTCCTGGAGCTTAGCAGATATGTTGATGAAAGAATTCTGAATCTGAGTTTTCTAGAACTTGAAATGTGATTGAAAGCTATGAATTACCCAGAATAATTAATGAGCACCTCGGGGTCTTCACTGTCCCCTGGGAGGTGGACATGAGCAGTGACCCATGAACTTACACTTTACAGTCTTCACTTGAACCTCAACGTTATTCTGTCACTATAGGCATGAAGTTTTTAATGTATGAGAGGTTTGTGTTTTGGCACCTACTTTTTGCTATATATAATGCTATAGTGAATGCTTCTATAATTCTACAAAGAACCCAAACTTCTCCTTACATTATCAATTTAAGCACACTTTTTACTTGTATTTTTAATTGTTTAACTGCTCTTATTTTTATCTACACTGTCTTTGCCAAGTATGTATTTAGATTATGCTGACTACTTCTAGCTCCTGTGCATAATTGTGCTAAATGATTAAAAATAAGTGACACAGGCAGCTGCTTCATAAAAAGTAAGAGAGACTCTTAATCCTCAAATTGTGCTTTGTCCTAGTTTTAAAAGGCTTGCTTAAGTTTTAACTTGGTTTCTATAAGTAATCAAGCTTAAGTAAATCCAGTTACAGTACCAAATTATGTTGCAAAGGACCTGTATTTAAGGTTCTGATTTTTATCTTGCTATATTTAAGGACCGTTGTTATCTCTAATTTTCCTTGTTCCCTCTGTAACTAAATAGTCTTGTGTTAGACATGCTGTGTCTGTCTCCTGAGAGCTATCAAGTACATGAGGAGCTACCTGAGAACAAGGACTATGGTATATTTATCATTTTGAATAGCTTATAGCAGCTAAGCACTAGGATGTATATAGGAGGTGTCTGCTCATACTATTTGTGGCATTATCTTTAATCTTCGAATATTGTAGTAAGACTTATTGGACCCAATGAACCATTGCTTCGGGAAGAGGATGGAACACCAACTGTGGACTTTCCAGTGGGCTACACTGTATTTGACAGCTGCCTTGGGGGCCTGCAGTGGTGTTCTGGGGACTCAGGTCACTAGGGGTAGGCATAACTGATGTTAAATTTTATTTTCAAAGAATCAGTTGATAAAATAATTTTTTAAATTGTTTTCCCTAAAAATGGAGCCATTTGTTATTTCCTAGGAGCATGTGTACGGGATCCAGGAGGTGATGAGTGGAGGTCCTCCGAGCATGGCCAGTGCTTAGGTGATTTACCATTCGGCTAACACTGCTGACCAACATGGATAAACTTTTGTTTTTATTCTCACTCTTAAATCAGTTGATGTATACCTGTGTGGACTTAAACTTAAAGACAGAAAGCATGGAGCAGTAGTGGTATTTACACCAAGTTGATTAAGACGGTAATGGTTCACGAGATGTCCGTTACTGTACCTATAAGGTGCAGCACCATCATAGTTGTTACCCAGCATATCAGAATGCTGATACGTGAAGTTTGATACGTCAGAATTATTCTTTCAAAAGCAACTAATCATAATTACACCTATTTTGTCTAAATATTATAGTAAAGATTATTTCTTGAGCTGCTTAATATCAACATGATACCTCAAACCACTCATCAAGAAAGCACAAAATTATTTCTGTGGTGGATTTTTATTCAGATATAAGAATTTAGTGTAATATATATGTTTTAATACTGTAATATGTAATTAGTGACTTTGTGATAATGTGACACTTAATTTTAGTGTACATACTATACATTGAGCCTCAAAATCAGACCTGTGCTTTCAAACGTGTATTTGCTTACGTGCCATGTTTATTGTTCATAATTAACGTAATAAATGCAGAACACTGAGTGGGAGAAGGATTAGTTTAGTTTTGGGTAAGTTGAGTGTCAGTGAATCTCTGGGTACTTGAGGAACAGTTAAATTGAGATTGTAGACTGGGAAGAATTCTGCACAGGTATGATAGCCATGAGAAAGGATGGGGTCACTGAGCTTTCTGTTGCTGTGCCAAAATACTTGAGAAAATCATCTTGTAAAGAGGAAAGTTGTATTTTCATTTATATTTTGAGAGATTTCAGTTTGTAGTCCCTTCACCTGTTGCTTTGGGCCTGTACCAAAACAATAGGTGATAGCAGGACCACCTGTGGGGGGGCACTGCTCACCTCATAGAGGTAAAGTGAGAGAGGAGGGCCAGGGTCTCAGTGTCCCTTTCAAGGGCATGCTCCCAATGACCTCCTTTCTTCTAGGCCCCACCTCCTGAAGGTTTCACCATGCCCCAGTAGCACCACAAACGGGACACCAAGCCTTCAGCAGGTGAGACTTTGGGGACTGTCCAAATCCAAATGATAACAAAAAGTAACCCAACAGACAGTGGGCAGAGCGTTGTAAAATCCTGCATCTGGGGATTGGTGGATACTGGGGGAGGAGTGAAGCGTGACCACCACTTTGGGGTGGGGTGTTGCATTGTCATGGAGACAAACCCAATGTATATAATGGCAAATGGGGGGGTTCCGCTTTATGAGAGGTTGATGTTGGAAGTCACTTGCCAGGTTCTCAGTGCATGGATAAGGAGTTAAGTGGGAATAGTCAAAGCCACAGATTGATGGGTTTTAGAGATGTTTGATATGTGAGATCAGGTCAGATAATATGGCAAAGGCATAGATGAGAAGTCAGTTAGTTACTCACTTCAGATATTCACATAAGGTTAAAATTAATAAATAAGAGTTTACTGACTGTGTCTCTGTGCTCTTCGTAGAACCAGTTTTAATGACCCTTCCCACTAAGCAGCTCTTCTGGTTGGCAGAGACTGACTTTGAGTAAACTCATCATTTCTCTTGATTGCTTATGGTGCTAAGATGTTATCAGCAAATGCATTTCGGCATGCAAAGAACCTGAATCTTCTCTTCTGATGACACATTTCATAAATGTTTTGCCACATAGGACATACTTTAAGGAATAGCAAATTACCTCACTCATCCTGCATGATCAAGTGTTGGGGTCAGCTGGACGTACTGCACTTTTTAAGACCCAAATACCATATGGGTACCAGCCCGTCCCTGCTTTGTTAAAAGATAAAAATTAGAAATCCATGTCAGTGTCCAGTGTACCCTTCCCAGGTAATAGCTCAGGGCACGTGAAAGATGACATGTGAGTAGGAGTAGTTCCTACCCTGTTTAGCTGCTTCCTGCCCCTCAGAAAGCAGTGTCTTTTGTACTAGTACATGGCAGAGCACCAGGCGTTCAACGAAGGACAAGCTAATTACAAGTAATATCCCATTCAGAGAAACCCTTATTACATCTACCCATTGGCATATGTTCATACCCCTTCACTAGCCTCTTTATGCAGATGTAGCTCACCAGTAGGAGTCTTTTCACCCCACAAACAGTGTTGCTTAGAAACACAGTTAATATCTCACCTTTATCAGGTTTCCAGGGAAACAGTGCTGAGAGGTTAACTGGAGGTCACTTTTATTTGGGAAAAGAGAAGAGATTTGTTAACCCTTTAATTTAGCAAAATGAAAATAGAAAACTCACATAATGCTAGCTTGTAGCATCTGTGCCATTGAATTTATTAGAGACCGTTCATTTTCATTTACTATCATAACATCAGGGTCTGTTTGAAGTTGTTATAACATCTCAACAGATGGTTCCTAATTGTGCTTTGTTCATATTGTCATCAAATTTAGTAAATAAAAACATCCTTCCTGCAGTAAGATCTCTTGTACCAATTCCTCAAAGATCATCTTTGAGTGGAGGTATAATAAGGAGTCAGAAGCGCAGGTATTATTGACAGATGGACTGAGGTGAGAAGAAGGCCATCTACGAGCAGAGGTTCCATTCAAACCCAGCTATATTTGAAGCTTTCTGTTTCTGGTGCTGAAAGAGTTTTTGTTAATAAGAACTCTCATTTGAAAACTCAGTCACCTCATCACTGATTATCTTTACAGGAACACTTTGCCTCCTCCTTTTTCTAGATTTTCTTGTCTCAGAGGTGCTTAGTACATTCTGATGTTAATATTAATTACACTGAAACACGAAAGTGGTGATCAGTAGTCAGTCAGAAGTACTCTTCTAGCTACAAAAGAAATGAAATTAACATATCTCTAGCATCTACGACTGCTTTTGTTTATTCATTTTATTACTGGCCAGCCTTATATGTAGGCATTAAAAAAATTCTTATTTTATTGACAAAAACATTTACACCAGAAGTAGGTGACAAATACAAAGTTACCCAGCAAAGACTAGAAAGGTGATTTAATTTTAGAGTGCTATTTCCTACTGTGTCACCAAGTAGGTGATCTTTGAATTACTCATCTTTGATACTTGTCAGAAATGATTGGCTTGATGTGAAAAACAGTAAAATTTTGGCCTCTTTTACTTAAGATATAAATAGTATCTTGCCAAATATATTTGTGTATGTGTGAATGTGTGTCATGTATGCATGTGTGTGTGTGTATATACATGGTGAGGTGTGTATATGAATGATCCCCAATTTTTGTAATCCTAATCATTGAACCAAAATTAATATCACTGTTACTATTGTTTTTGTTTTGTGGTGCTGAGGATCAAATCCAGAGCCTTGAATGTCCTAGGCAAGTGCTCTACCATTGTTCTGTGTCCCCAGGCTCCAAACTGTTTTATTTTGATGTTTAAAGTTAATGCCATTTGTTTGGTTTTTTTTTCCACATTTCAATAATACAGCTTCTGTGCACAAACCAAAATCATGCATGTATTACTTGTACTTAATAATGAAGTTCAGTAAGCATTCAATGGGAAGTTATGTACCCTACATATGTTGTTGATGCTTGACTACTGCAAGGAGTATAAGGTAACCCTTAAGCTGTTGTCCAGTAACTGAGATAGACTGCCACACAATATGGATATGTAATGTAATGTCTTTTAATCTAATAAATAGCTACAGTATTCACCATTGTTTATCACTTCTAAGCTTACATTTTTATTTTACCTGCCATGTGTGCTTTTCTCTTGGTTTCTAGTAGTACCCTGCAATTAAACTTGCTGCCCTTGGGTGGCAGTGTTGATATCTGGGAATCCAGAAAAAGTGCTGTGGTGTTGGTTTATGTTTAAAAAATTCATTTGAATAAAAATTCAAATATGAAAACCTGTATTTAGTGAAAAATCAGATTTATTGAATCTTTCAAATCATTGTCTCTATAAGCAACCTAACTTAATTTAGTGATGCCCTTTGAGTGATGAAATCTGATTTCGTAGTGAGATGCCACACTTAGCAGCTTATGGCATACTATAAACTTTTAGAAATCAGTCATTAACAGCTCTTTATGAAAATTAAGAGTAATTTCTTTATGCTAGCCTTGCTAGTACGTAGAAGGTAATTTGATTTTGTATTCTTGAAAGTTTAGTAAATGAGCATATGTAGCTTAATGTTATACAAGAAAATTAGTAACCTGACCTGGTACTCTCCCATTTTTAAGTGTGCATAAATTTCATTTGATAACAAAATTGTTCTCTGATAGTTTTTTTTTTTCTTATTTTCTATACATCAGTTATATGCTTCGGTAATCTTTACAATTTTTCTTTGGTTAGCCATCTTGCTTCATTTATTTCTGGTTCTCAGAGAACTTCTGTGCATTTGTTTCACAGTTAGCTCTGAGTACGCATTGCTTGTTATTACATCATAGGACTCTGTTGACCCCAGTGTGTGACACTTCAGTGAGGACTATGTGAAAGATACTCTATATCTCATGACATTAGCAACCTGAAATTTATTTTGAGTCTGACTGACGTGAGAGACATTATTAAACTTCTTCTCAAAAAATGACACAATATTAGAATCTGTTGATTAATTAAAATAAATTAACCATGAAAACCTTTAGGAAGTGTTTAAGTGGTTTGTTTAGTTATATTTTTTTCTATAGTATAAGAAGGTAATTAACAATAAATTATTGGAAATTAGCAGTCCAGGATTGGTTGGTTTGCTAGGTTAGAACCTGTTGTCCATGTCTTTCTTAGTAGTTGGTCTAGATACACATAGCTCACAGTGGATGCAGCATGAGGTTTGGAGTCCTGCCTCTTTGCTTCCTGGCTCTTCTGCCTAGAAGCTGGCCATATCCACTTATACCCCTCAGCTTCCATCTCCTTGGAAGTAAAATGGGGAATGGTATCAATCTGTTTTTCTGTCCGATCAGAACAAATCAATGAAGGTATCTGGCAGTAAACGAGCAGTGTGTATGTTAGTCTACTAAGCAGTATGTTAGTCCACATAAGCAGTGTGTGTGTTAGTCTGTATAAGCAGTACACATGTTAGATCAGAGATTCTTGAGAACTGAAGAACTACAAGGGGAATTACAGCAGCCAGTGTCCCGGGTAGAGAATATAGGCTCCCAGGATATTGAGCTCATTACAGCATAGATCTTACTTTTAAAATAATTGGCAGATGATAATTTATTGATGTTCTTTCTCCTCTCTCTAGGATACTTGCGGAGAGCTACAATGGAAAAGTCCTGGATGCTGTGGAACTTCATTGAAAGGTGGCTAGTAGCTGTGGCTTCCTGGTCTTGGGCGCTCTGCCGCATCTCTCTTTTACCTTTAATTGTGACTTTTCATCTGTATGGAGGCGTTATCTTGCTTTTGTTAATATGCATATCGATAGCAGGCATTCTGTACAAATTCCAGGATGTTTTGCTTTACTTTCCAGAGCAGCCATCGTCTTCACGCCTTTATGTCCCCATGCCCACTGGCATTCCACATGAAAATGTCTTCATCAGAACCAAAGATGGAGTGCGTCTAAATCTGATTCTAATAAGGTACACTGGAGACAACGCACCCTACTCCCCAACTATAATTTATTTTCATGGGAATGCAGGCAACATTGGGCACAGGTTACCAAACGCATTGCTTATGTTAGTTAACCTCAAAGTTAATCTTTTGCTTGTTGATTATCGAGGCTATGGGAAAAGTGAAGGAGAAGCAAGTGAAGAAGGACTGTATTTAGACTCTGAAGCTGTGCTAGACTATGTGATGACTAGACCTGACCTTGACAAGACAAAAATTTTTCTTTTTGGCCGTTCCTTGGGAGGAGCAGTGGCTATTCATTTGGCTTCTGAAAATTCTCATAGGATTTCAGCCATCATGGTGGAGAACACATTTCTGAGCATACCACATATGGCCAGCACTTTATTTTCATTCTTTCCAGTGCGCCACCTTCCTTTATGGTGCTACAAAAATAAGTTTTTGTCCTACAGAAAAATCTCTCAGTGCAGAATGCCTTCTCTTTTCATCTCTGGACTCTCTGACCAGTTAATCCCACCAGTAATGATGAAGCAACTCTATGAGCTCTCCCCTTCTCGGACTAAGAGATTAGCCATTTTTCCAGATGGAACTCATAACGACACCTGGCAGTGCCAAGGTTATTTCACTGCACTGGAGCAGTTCATCAAAGAAGTAATAAAGAGTCATTCTCCTGAAGAAATGACAAAAACTACATCTAATGTAACAATTATATGATGTTCCCCATTTTGGATTAATGCATTGTATTTTAATTTGTGTAGAATGATAAAGAATGTTCCTTTTAGAAGTGTGTTATGTCTGTACTTGTCTGAAGAGTGACATTAAGCATTGAGAGGACTGCACCACTCCTTTGTGATCACCCAAATCGCTTTTATGTTCCAAGAACTGTAGCTCTTTGATTACTTCATACTTTTTCATCAGAACTTTCAATGTTGCTATGTATCCACAACTTTACTTTACTATGTCAATCAATATAATAGAAATTATTCAGGAGTTTCTTGTTGCTTAAGTGGTGTATTCTGTGTTACACTTGAGGTCCGGGAGGAGGTAAGTGAACAAGAAACCTTGGGATGTTACTCCTTTAGTAAATACTGGGACAATCATGGTAAGAAACTTAGTTCTGTAACTGCATTTTTCAACTTAAAATGAAGTGCATGATGGTGTTTTACTCCTTGACTTATGCAATGCGATGTTTCTGATGTAAATAACACTGAACATATACCAATGTATATGGTACCTGGGTTATATAGCTATTTTTATGTAAACTCTATTTTGTTTTGGGCAAGAAGTGAAAGCGAAGCCTGTGTTCAGGTCATCATTGGATTTTGCTCTGATGAGTGCTGAGAACCAGCTTTTTCTTAAAAATAAATGGGACCCTGATTTCCAATGTAAATGTACCGTGTTTTTGTTAGGTACAGTCTGGATCCTGGCGTATAGAAATAGAAGTTTAGATTTTTATTGCAGCTTTCCATTCACATTTGAACTTTTTAACATTTGTAATTTTGGTGGCAAAGAGAATTTTAGCTTCTGTCAATTTTGTAAGTCCTCAGCTAAAACACTAACAGCAGTCATAGTGAAGAATAGAACTTGGCTAAGAATTAAATTAGGAAGTCTTGTTATGTGATTGTACATACTGTTTTCTGAAATTCCTACGTTTAAGTCCCAGTGCACAGGGTATATCTAACCACAAAAGCAGGATATCATTTATTGAACTGTTTTTAAATCTAAGTTACAAAACAAAAGCAAAAAGGTAAAAGAAAATGTGTTCTTGATGTACTCCAGTTGCTCTCCAGTAGAAAAGCACCAAGACAGTTTTAGGAAATCTTATTTCTCTCGAATTTACATGTGAAAATGAAGGAATTCTAGAGCCTTTTGACATAGAACCTATGACCAACTTAACAATTAAATGGCAGTGGGTGAGGAGGAGTAGTTAGATGTATAGAAAAGTAAGAAAAATCTTACTGAAAGAAGCCCCTTGAGACTTACAAAATTATCTTAGGAAAATACAAGTAACGCAAAGTACTGTGCCAACTTGTTTGAAGCAAGCCTCAAAAGTACCTGTAATGAGCTCTGCACATCATTACTCTGCTTTCACATACAATATTTTGAATATTTTAGATATATTTGTTGGCTTTCTGCAAGCAGCTAGAGTAAGGAAATAGTCAATAATCTTGACCTTAATTTGAAACCTTTTCCATGGAGATAGGGCTAGAAGCACTTTTGCCAAATAGCATTCCTAAAATTCACTTTATGCCAGGGTTTAGAAAGAGTAAATTATAGCAAATATGATTTCTAAAGAAGAATGGTTTTCTATAAATTATTAATTGTAAAAAGTCTTGTTTTTTACAAAGAGTTGGTAACTCATCATGGAAGGTGTATTTTGTATGTATAAAATTCACTGCAATTAAAGGCTACTTTTCATCTTGTCACTTTGCTATGTAGAATGACTATCCTAAAATAGTAATATGTTAAAAAGGAAAAAAATAATAGAACAAGCAATAGTATATTTAGAGATGAGTTTCCGTGGCACAGCTTGTAGGTGTGTCCTGTTTTGGGTGTGCACAGTACTACAACAGAGGGCTTTATGAACTTTAGTTGTCCTTGTGCTGATGAAATAGGAAAGCCTTTTTTCACCAGTGTTTTTATGCTGCTTTTTCCTTTTCATTCTTTTTCCTTTTTCCTTTTTTTTTAAAGTAATTCAGGTTTATAGTCTTTTTTTTTTTTTTTTTCTCAAGCCAGGACTTAAGAAGCAGAGCACTTGAGTACCATCCCTGTCTTCATTTCCCTCTCAGAAAGCCTTCACCTGCAGCAAAGGCAGGCAGAGGCTGTGTAGGGTTATGGACATCTTTCTTTGCCAACGTCTGTGATTCAGACTATTTTTCAGATGAGAAAGCGTGCAAAATAAGCTCATATTGCCAGGGTCCATGAAGCCCCTGGCATCATTTTTTAAATTTTCTGATTTTTGTGGCCAGAACTTTTGGTCTTAGTGAAATGTGACTTCTGCATGAGTCTTCCCTTTGTTTTGGTCACACTTCCCGTGGGGGTGGAGTGTGTGCATCTTGCACGTTAGTTTCTGGCTCATGTATGCGACTAGAGAAATTCAGGAATGAATTTTAAGTTAGATACGGTAAATTTGGAAGTACTAAAACGATCTTTAAAAACATCTACAAGCCCCCATTATTTTAAGGAAAGTTATTGGTGTGAAGTGTGTGGTGGGGGGGGCACTGTTTTTTGTTCGTTTGTTTTAAAAGGAATCCTGCAAATTAAGGGAAGAAATAATTTCTGACGGGTGAAAGAATGTCAATAGGATAGAAACCACTGGACAGGAAATAGTTACCTTGTGAGGCTGGTGAGAAGGAAATTGCAAAACCATTTAGACAAAAAGCCATCCTCACACAGTAAATGACCAGGCACTTGACATTGCAACTACCTTATGTTTTTGCAACTAATTTTGCAAAGTTGATATTTTCATTAAAATACTGTTCTGAATTTTGTCACAGAGCAGCTTAAGTTCATGATGAGCTGTAGTCACTTGATAATTACAGAGTACAGCTTCGCTAATGTGTCACAAGAGCAATTCTAGTGCAGTATTGCTGAGAATTTTACCACACGATGCTTCTCATTTATTATATTTGATTTGACTCAGGTGGAAATAGGTGTGGTGGAATTAAATTATGAAGTCCATATTTGACTATTATAAACTATCTTGCAAGCTCAGATATGTAATAGTGACTTACCGAGTCTCTTCTCTCCTTGAAGTTAGGAGTAAGCTTGTGAAGGATGTCACAGAAATCACTTTCCCATTGAGTGGGAACTTCATGACTGAAGTTCTGAGATACTCTGATCTTCACCTAACTCTTTTACTTATTGTTTGATAATTATGAAAAAACTGTGAAAGGAAAAATTAGTCATAACCCGTTTGGATTATCCACTTGAACTTAACGTACTTTCATGTCACTCAGGTAAAGTTTGGGAATGACAGCACAGGCATCTATTTTTAAAATTCATAGGGTAGAAAATGAAAAGCACTTCTGTTTATTCTTACCATGTACGTGCATCATCTAGCTAATCAGAAACGGTATACTCCATTGTATGGTGATGTACTCAGTTCTCCTAATTCTAGTCATTATGTTTTTGCCAAATGGCACAAATATACCTCCATTTATATTTTGTATCTTAAAACTAAGATTAAAAATAGAACTATGTATAATCGACACTTTCTTAACAAAGTGCCATATATACATATGTAATGGGTGTGTGTTTAACATTATAAAAGAATTTGTCAGTACAGCATATACTGAAAAGTCAAGTTATTTGCAACATATTCAAACACATTCATGATAAAATAAGTTAGCCCAATTTCATAATGTGAATCATATTTTTGTTATCTACCATATTTTATTTGAAATAGTAAAATTTTATAATTCAAATTTGAATGTCATAGTACATTGTGTGCTAACTGGCAAGCAAACATTTACATTTATTTTTTTTTACAATAAATTTCTTTTAAGATATACTTTCTATTTTTCTGTACTGACATATGCAATAAATTGATACATTAAAAGTTTGATTAATGTCTTAAGATAGTTTGTATTCAGTCTTTTTAAGGATTTTCTGTTAATGTAAAGCCTATCATAGGACATTAAAGTTTTCCTCTGATGGTTAAATAAAATGCCTGAGTTTGCACTGAAATTCATGAATTTCGTTCTAATGGTCTGGACTAAAAGTAGAAGTTCGATTTATATTTTCCCCAAGAGTATTATCCTCCCATGTGCATTTAATTTAGTCCCGTTTAAAATGCTCTGTATATGAACCACTAGTGAATGCTGGGCACCAAAGCATTCCTTTAGTTAAATGGCTCTAGGAATGAACAGATTTTGACTTCATTGTCATGTTGCCTTCAAATTTCATAAAGTATTTTTCCAAGAAACTCGCAGGTTGTTTTTTGTATTTCAGTTAATGGCTGAGCTTACTCAGCCTTCACTGGTCTATAACCTGCTTTCCTGGAACAAGGAACATCATCCTTGGCTACTGTCAGCACAGGGGTGACTGAAGGTATGTCTGAGCCTTTAATAGCAAGAAGAAGACCCTCTTATTGGAGACCATCTTCCTGTGGGCAGGTCTGGTGGGGGGGGTGGGCTCTCGTGTTCTTCCTGGAAGGTCACAGGTGGGTCTGGTGGGGGTGGGCTCTCATGTTCCTCCTGGAAGGTCACAAACCCAAATCCCAAGGTGAGGTAGATACCATTTTCAAGAAAACTTCTTAGGCGCCCATCTCACTCACATTCTTCATTTACTTCTGTGACATCCTGGAAAGCATGAAGTTAGATCTGATAGAGAATGTAACTTCTGCCTTCCTGAAGAAAAGGCATGGAGAACTAATGTTTTGAATGCCTACAAAGAGAAAGCCTGTGTGTTCCATGTGTTCATCTCACTGAGTCCTCACTAAGAACTTTGGAGTCAATTGTGTCCCATTTTATTAAAAAATGGACTCAGGTCAAGTAACATGGTCAAGGGTACCCAGAAAGGAGCCCAGAGTGACAACCAGACCTCCCATTCTGAATAGAGAAAACAAGCATGCATTTTTTTCATTTACTCAATAAAATAAGTTGAAAATTTTTGCTCATGTTGGAACAGGTTTGAAATATTAAAATTGGGATTAGAAATGGATAGTTCAGGATCACTTGCAAAGAACTGCTGTGAACTAAAAACTACATGTGTGCAGTAAAGTACGTTTTCTTTAAAGTAGTTAAATCTGTGTTCCTGCAGGAAAATCTAGATGCTCACCTTGCTTACAGCAAGGAATCTTTTTTTTTTTTTTTTTTTTTTTTTGTGGTACTGAGGTTTAAAGTCAGTCTCATGTTTGGTAACAAGGTTTACTACCACTTGAGCCACTCCACCAGCAAATATTCTGGGAGTCATCTTAAAGTGACTCCTGATGCTTTTGGAAGTGATCTTGCTGTTTCTTTTGCCAGTAAGATTTATTTTCCCAGTCTTCCCATTGCTATCATGCAAGTCCCTGAAGTTATTTTATAATAGCTAACATTTTTACTGAGTACTTACTGTATACTAACTATTGTTCTGACATGCTTTATCCATTTAGTGCAGCCCAGACTGGCCTTGAACTTGTGATCATCCTCCCTCAGCTCCCAAGTGCTGGGGTCCCAGGCATGCCCTTTACCAACAGGTTTATCATTTATTCTTAACTGCATAATCTGCAAATTGGTTCTAACCTCACGGGTTCCACACCTCAATCATTACTGCCAGGAAAAGTCCAAGGGCAGGCAGTGGCTGCATTTCTCAGTAGACTGAAATCAAGCTCCCTGTCCAGAGTTCCTTGGCAAACTGAGCTTGACCTTGTTGCAGAAGATATCTTTGTCTTTTATGAAT